TCTATATAAAACATGTATCCGCTATAAGTATTAATAAAAAGCTCAGACCAAAGAGGTCACCTTAATACCGAAAAAAAAAAAATATTACTAATTCATTTATGTTTAGAAAAATTGTGAAACTAATTTTTATGTTTAATTAGGAAAATAGATACTCAAAATTTATTTTTGTAACAAACATGATGACTAGAAAAAGTTATTAAAATAAGGGTTGAATTTCTAAATAAGTTCAACAACTTTTACTTGAAGAAAAACAAAAAAAAAGATAAATTTTAAAACTGTTAAAAATGATTATTATTCAGATAAATTTAATAAATCAAATGAATTAAACAGATATAAATATATTAATCTCAATAATAGAACATTTGGTTATTCTTATATTCTTCTACCAAATGATCAATATTTTTTTATAAATATCAAAGCTTCTGTAAATGATGTTTTGAATTTTGATGCATTTATTGATAATAATTATTTTTTTGAAAAAGAAATTTCCAAAAATATAACTATTGATGAAATAACTTCTATTAAAGAAAAAATGAAATATTTTAATAAAAATAATATTAAAGAAGAAATTATTGATGAATCATCTAATGAAAAAACAAATGAACACACTGAAGCATTAAAAAATAAAAATGTAAATACTAAAAATAAAGTCAATAAATTTAAAAAAAAACTTAATAAATGTTATAAAATAATTGATACAAAGAATAATTATATAAATGACTTTAAAGATGAACTTATTCAAAGAAATAATAAAATTTAAAAAAATAAAAATAAAATACATCAGTTGAATAATAAATTAGATGAAAGAAAAAAAAGATTTAAAAAATTATCAAATTTACTTAAAGACAAAGATGATATAATTTAAAAACTTCTAAAAAATCAAAATAAATTAATTAAATGAAACAAAAAAGATAGAGCTAATAATAAAATGTTATATAATAGAAATAAGAAGTTAGAGAATAAAATAGTTTTCTTAAAAAAAAAGAATAATTGCTCTTGAATAAGGAAATAAAATAAAGAATGCAGAACTAAAGACTAAAACTCTAATATATAATTGTAAAAGAGTTAAATATAATAGTTAATAATGTATTTTGATATACTAATCATATGATGTATTATAAACTAATAATTATAAATAAATTGATTGTTTTATTTTTTTTTTGTTCTCAAATCAATTATAAAATTGTTTTCAATTGAAGTTAAACAAATAATTTTCATTTTATTAAATGATCCTTTCTCTTTAACAGAGATTTTAAAGAAATAAAATAAAATCAGTCATAATATAACTGTTTATGCATATTGGTTAGTCTATTATTATAATAGATGCTATGCACTGATTTATGCCTTCAAGAAGAACTCACAATTTAAAACAAAGCATTAATTTTTAAATACCCAACTTATTGAAGTTTATTTAAATTAAATATCTTACCTTCATGATATTTTATTTAACAAATAATATTATACTTTGGTAATTCTGATTATAATTTGATTATACTTAAAACACAACATATGTTGACAATTAATAGAACTTTGATTCCAAATAATGTCTTATTTGAAAACAAAATAAAATGAATTTCTTTTGCTAATTTTAAAGAAGTTTTTCAAATTATAGCTAAAGCTGTAGAAATTTATAAAATCAATGAAATATGTTTAAAAAGTAATGATATAGAGTATTTTTATTTTCTTTTTAATAGTTTAGAAATTATAAAAAATGCAAAAACAGCTTTAGAAAAAAACTATTTGTTTTAGAAAATCTGATTAAAATATATCAGTTTGCAACTTTTTCACTATAATCATATAAACTAATTAACATTTTAGAAAAATACCCTTCTTGAGATGGTTATGAAAATAATTGCCAATTGAATATTATTGCTAGAGTGATCTTATTAGAGTATAAACTAATCAAACTTTGATACGAAATAGGATATTATAATATAATTCAAGATACAAATAATCTTGTTATCCAAGGCCAATTTCTTATATGCTATCTACTAAATAATAGTTCATCTAATAATTATAATACTATATATAATAAAATAAATACACTATGTAATCTTGGATATAAAATTACTATACAGCTTCTTTGTAATATTTATTTTGTATTCAAAGATTAAATATCTTTTGTTAGAAATGATAAATTAAAAATAATATCAAAATAATAAAAAGTTCTAAAGAAGAAACATTATTTGATTTATTTAAAGTTAATATGTTTACAAAATATAACTTTATGAGTATAAAAGATTTTTTTTTCAAAAATTAATATTACATTAAAGATCTATATTTAAATACATTTGAGCAACAAATTAATTCAATCTTTTTATTATTAAAAGAGATATTACAATAAACTTATAATAATAATATTTTTTTTAACTTTTAAGAGATTATGTCATTCAAAAAATTATTTTTAGTCTAGATATTAAATATTTATGATATTAATTCTAATATTATTAGCATCTGTTTTGATTATATTTTACAATTCTTCACATTATTAACTCTTTCTAATGATTCCTCACATCAACTTTTTTCAAAAGTTTAATCTACAAAAACTATATAGTTATTATATTTAAATATAACAAAAGTCTACTTTGAAGTAACTAGAGAGGCTATTCACTGCATGCTTGGTTGTAACTGAAAAAAGCTGAAAAAAACTCGAACTCTTGTAAGTGAAGTCCCTTAGTAAAACATAAGTACTACCAAGTAGAGGGTGGAACTGATGACTAATTATTTGAGCATCGATCAAAATTTTCGAGCATCGAAATAAGCTTTCATTTATTGAGCTTTTAATTCGGTTATAATTGATTATTAGTGAAAGTCGAAATTTAACTATTTGTTTTGATAATGATAAGATAATAATGAGTTTTGATTTATTATAAATATCAATTCTCATAAATATTTATTTAATAAATCGATCAAAATTTTCAAAATTGATATTGCCATAATTACACTCATAAATATTGATTTAATAAATCATTCAAGTTGTTCAAATCGATATTACCATAATTACAATAAAAAATGAAATTTGATTCAATATTGAATAAGAATACTGCATCTTGTGTTAGTGTTCCCATGGAGTTCTCTAAAGAGTATGAATTGAATCACATTAATATTTCAGTTTGTGAAGAACCCAAATCCAATACAGAGGTAGCTGTTGCTGATGGTTCCAAAAAACAAAGATTAGGGATGTGTGGTGGGTTTAAAAAATGATCTTGGGTGTGACAATACTTTGATTTATTCGTAGTAATTGATAAAAATAGCAAAGAAATCCAATATTGTGTATATCAAATTATAACAGATGGCAATATAAAATGTGCACAAAAAATCAAAGTTGCAAATAGATCAACTTCAAACCTCATTCATCATCTTTCTTCAGTGCATAAAATTATGGTAATATTTTGCAAACTGATATTATTTAATATTATATATCATTATAGTTTTTAATTTATTTATCTTTATTAGGATAATCAAATCAATAATGCCAAAACTCATCCAAAACCAAAGAATGATTTTCTTACTCGATCTTTATTGAAATTTATTATTTGTGAAAATATGCCGCTTAATCTTGTCTTAAAAGAATCATTTCAAGAATTTGTCTATGATTTAGATTTAGCATTCGTGATGCCATGTGAAAAAACTGTAAAGCAGCTCATTCATATCACTTATAACTATTTAGCAAATGTATTAAAACAACAATTGGATTTAACTAGCCAAACTGTATGCTTGACGTTAGATTTATGAACAGCATGAAACCAGCAAGGCTTTTTAGGAATCATATGTTCATGGATTGATGATAGTTTTAAAATACATGAAGTGCTTCTTACTTTGACTTATTTAAAATATCCTCATACAGCAATTAATATATATAATGCGATTAATCAGCAAATTGATTATTGGGAACTAACAGGAAAAATCTTTACAATTACATCAGATAATAGAGCAAATGTAAAAGCTGTCATAAATAAAATTGAAGGAGTTAGTAGAATGCCTTGTACAGCACATATACTTCAGCTTGTAGTTGGCAAAGGTCTTTTACCAGCTAAAGTATTTGTGGCTCATGCAAAACAATTAATAAATTTTTTTATAAGTTCCAAGCAAAATGAGAGGTTAGAAAATGTGCAGCAAAGTTTACAAATTCCAGAAGCAAATGTAAGAATAAAATATTTTTATTTTATTAATTTAATTTATAAAAACTTAGATTTTTTAATTTATTATTTT